GAAATAAATTGTATTCTCCAAATAAAAACGTTTCTCATTTTAAGCCACTAAGTTTTGGAGTAATTTGTATACAACAATAGGTAGGGGCTAGGGATTTAGCTCAGCGGTACAGCACCTGCCTGGCAAGCGTGAGGTCGTGAGTTCGATTCCTGGTACCGGAAAAAAAAAAACAAAAAAAAAACCCAAAAAACAAACCAACCCAAAAAAAACCAATAGGTAATTAATGATTATTGACTAAAGTTAGTAAACTGCTGAACAGAAAGGGAAAAAGCCACTAAATATAGTCACAGTAAAAGTAACTCAATAGTAGTTAAATTTAACCAAAATGATTTGTCATAAAAATATATAAACACATGTTATATTTAGAGGGAAAAAATCAACAAATTTATCATGAATTAAAAAGTTGTCAGCAACAGCATTTGGATCCACAGAAGGTACCAGATAACACATGCAGTTTTCTTGGCAAAGTTCTTGGTCAACATATATATACTCTTATGAGAAAGCACAGGCCAAAAATCTCACTTCAGTTTCCTAAGTTCCTAACTCACAGGAACTCTGAGAAGTAAACTGTATCCTCCAAATAAAAATGTTTCTCATATGCCAAAATCCAGAACAGCCAAAATAATATTGCAAAAACAATTTGAAGGGTTCACACTTCCTAATTTCAAACATTTCTAAAGCTCCAGTGTGAGACTGGCACACTTTGTCAGTGGCAAGTCCAAAAATATAACCCTTATGTGGATTTGGATGTGGAATGTCCTCCATGTGTTGTTAAAAGCTTAGGCTGGTGCTATTGGGAGGTGGCAGAAATGTTAAAGGTGGAGCCTACTGAAAAGTTTTCAGATTATTGGAGGTTTGCTCTTGAAGTTGATAGTGGGACCCTTCATCCCCACCCCGCTCCATATTCTGGCCGTGAGCAAACAGTTCCTCCACCACATTTTCCCAGCGTGATGGGCTGCCTCACATCAGGACCAAAAAAGCCAACTAGCCATGGACTGAAAGCACTAAAATAAAATTTTCACTTTAAAAAATTTTTTTCTCAGGCATTTTATTTCAGTAACAGAAGCTAACTAACACACATGGTATAATAAGAAACACATATTTGTTTTCTGTTTCTTATTCCTGGTTAGAGTTCCTAATGCATTTGGAATTTCCTGAACAACTGAAATGACAGAAGTATCTTTTGTTATTCATACAAGACCCTCAAGCAGACCTGAGTTTATAAGTGCTGATGAGATGACCATTGAAGGGCCCTGAGACAGCTTCAGGATTGAGGACTAGTAACAAGAGGAACCAACCACGCTGTCAGAGTGTTGGAGCTTCTAGCCTCTACTGCTCCCCCTTTAACTTTCAGAAGGGGAAAGGAGCTAGAGATTTCGTTCAATTATAAATAACCCATGATTTTATCAATAATACCCACATAACGGAATCTTTCTTTGAAAATAAAAACTCTAAACAGTGTTAGTCAGAGAGTTTGAGTTGGTGAATACATGAAAATACATTTCAGAAATCCTATTTGTCTCACTGAATTGTTTTCAAAAATAGGTTTTTAAAATTTTATTTTTGACTGAGAAATAATTATCTATTTGAGAAGGTACAATGTGTGATGTTCTGTAAGTACACAGTTTGTAATGAACAAATTGGTGTAATATACTGTTACCTCAAACATTATTTGTAATGAGACTATTCTAAATCCCTTTTTCTAGTTATTTTTACATATATGTTAACTACAGTTTTTCTGTACAACAAAATACCAGAACATATTCCACCTAACTGTGATTCTGTATTATTAACCAGTATCTTTCATTTCCCCTTCTCTTTCCCCAGCCTCTGATAACTGAAATTCTACTTTCTACCTCTGTGAATTCAACTTTTTTTAGATTCTACATATAAGTTATTTGTCTCTCTGTGTCTAGTTTAGTTCACTTAACATAACAGCTAAATTCATCCATATTCTTACAAATGACAGAATTTTATGCTTTTTTTATGAATGAATAGTATTCCATTGCATATACAGATGCTGTTTGACTTACACTGGGGTTATACCCTAATAAATTCACTGTAAGTTGAAACTATCATTAAGTCAAAAATATATTGAATACATCTAACCTAGTGAAAATCATTGTATACTATAGAGTATTGGTTATTTACTCTTGTGACTGCATGGTTGACAGGAAGCTGCAATGAGTCACTGTCTAGCAAGAGAAATTATGGTAATACGTAACACTAGAATGGGAAAAGACCAAAACTAAGGATTTGAAGTATGGTTACCAACAAATACATACTGCTTTTATATTACCATCAAGTAAAAGAATCATTAGTCAAACTGCCCTAAACTGAGATCTGTGTATATATATAGGATATCATTATTAATATTTTTAATCCATTCATCTGATGATGGATGAAAATTTTTTCAAACAAAAAATACACTGAGTTAACTAGTAATGGGTTTGTTTGTTTGTTTGTTTGTTTTTTCGCTTGTTTTTTTTTCTGGTACCGGGAATTGAACTCACGACCTCGCGTTTGCCAGGCAGGCGCTGTGTCACTGAGCTAAATCCCCAGCCCCTAGTAACGGGTTTAGTATAAATCTAACATGAATTAGCAAAAGTTTTTTTAAAATTTTTGTTTTAATTTCTAATATTGTTATATATTAATAGATATAACCCACCTAAATGAAATCTCATTGGGAATCTTCAATAATTATTTTTTTGTACCAGGAATCAAACTCAGGACCTTGCACTTGCCAGGCAGACGCTTGCACCACTGAACTATATCCCCAGCCCAATAATTTTTAAATGTAAAAGTATACTGACAAAAAAGCTTGAGAACTTCTGCTCCAATCGTATAATTCACCAAAATAATTGTCATACTATATGTAGTCAATTAGTTTTAATTATTTACTATCTATCCCTCTGAAAGCAAGAAACTATGACTAGAACCCCAGACCTAAAAGGTCTAACATATAATAGATTTTACTTTTGTTACTGTTTGTCTCATTCAGATTCTGTCATGTTTAATACTTTTGAATGTACTCATAAATATTTAAATGTATTCACTGAATAATACTTACTTCATTTAATTAATTACCTTTTTCGGAATGCTGATGTGCTTTCTCCTTTATCTTCTACAATATTAACTAATTTTGTATCATCAGAAACATTTATCTCAGGTGCTATCTCAGTGCCCATGTGAGTTTTATATCTCTGAGAAGACCCATATGTCAACTTCTCAGAAACATATGATAAGTCAGTGTTATCTACTTGTTCAAAATTTAGATAATCTTGTTCATATTTATTAGAGGTAAATTTGAATTTTTGTGTTGGCAAAATATAACTTGTGTCTCCATTAGTAATCTTTAAATTTGATGTTAACAGTTTTGGCTTCTTTCTTTGACCTATAAAAACAGAACATATTAATTATTATATATTTTTCATGAAAACAAATTTTCAAAATTACAATGGAAAGATTTAATGAAAACTTTCAAAAGAGTTTATTAGTTACATAGAAAGCCAAGAGAAAAGTATTATTACAGTAACAAAATAATTTATAATACTATATATGGTTTTAAAATACCTACAAATGTTTTTTTTCTGAAGGGAGCTCAGAAATTAATTCAGAATTATTAAACAAAATTCAAAATGTATACAGAACCTACATTATAAAATAGGTTTAACCCCAACCCACAAAAAAGCAACCCATAACTGTAATATTTAACTACTTTAGCTATAAGTGATATTATAAAAGCAATTAAGTCTTAAAATTTTACAAAATTTACACACAGAAATACAATGACCAATCATAAAATACTATCAAATGTGATATAGTATTTATATGATACAATGTTTTTAATTTTGTAATCTTTCTCCTAAACTCAAGATAAAGAAATGTTTTCATTAGAGTGATAGAATTTTAAAGATTTCTTTAGAGACTTTTCAAGAATCTATGGAAGGTTTAGGCAGAGTTTGGTAGACTTATTGGCTCTTAAATTTGCTATTTATACATCTATTTATACATATCTATTTATTTATACATATACTACCTGTATATTATGTATGCTAAATAGTATTTGACATATTCAAGAGTATATGTTTTTATATACAAAGCATATATGTAAATTATGAGGCTTAATAATCAAATATATATGTATGAATCTACTACTCAATTTAAAAAATAAAGTTTTACTAGAAATATCACATTACATAACACACATTATTTAAACATGCTTTTTTTTCTTGGTTTTGGGGGTTGAATTCAGGGGCCCACACATGTATGCTCTACCTGAGACAATATGCTCTACCCTTGAGTTATACCCAGCCTGAGCATGACTGTTTTTTGATTTTTATAAAAATGGTCTCAAACCATATATAATATTCTGCGTACTGCTTTTTTCACTCAATATACTGTAGACATCTGGCTCCCAGAGGATCTTATCTTTAATAAAAAGCAAAGAAAAACTGAACCTCAGTGACAGGAATTTTAACGGTAAGGGGAAAAATATTCACAGAACAAAAAAAAACAATCATAGGGCCAGGGATGCAGCTCAGCAGCACAGCGCCTGCTTGGCAAGGGTAAGGCCCTGAGTTCAACTGCCGGTACCAAAAAACAACAACAACAACAACAAAATAACAATTATATGATAGTGTATTGTATACTATGTATATGTATATTAATATGTATATGAAGAAAGTGTTTTAGAGCCTAAGATTTGATAAGCACTATTTTAAATAGGTGAAGCCTTTCATTTTATTCCATTAAAATAAAGAAATTAATATTTTAATGTGTTGCTAGACTCTTTCATGTTGACATGAGCTGCATGAGTTTGGTTTCACAATAAATGTAGCAATTTACCTAACAATTTATGACTTTCGATTTCTTCCTCTAAGTCCTGAGTATCTGGGATTTCTGAAATCAATGGAGCAGGGGGGAGAAACCAATCCAGTGATTTTTCACTGTCTGGAAATCTATACAAAATACAAAAATACGAACATGTTATTTAAGATATAACATTACACACTATTTATTAAGCATTACTCAATTACAAAATCTTAGATAAACATTCTGTAAACTAATTTTCTGTCATTACTTTGATTTACCTCTATACAGCAGGAGTGTTCGTAACACTTTTTCCCTTGTGTTAAGGGATTAATGATAATGCTGTGTGAGATCTGCTACTTTAAAAATGGCTACAATTCTGCCTCATTTTATCCAATTAAAATGTTTGTGACAGGAAACTTAAACCTGTCCCAATCTTTAAAAAAAGTAATAAATCATGTTCAAACTTGACTACTTTAACAATCACACATAACAAATTACTTACAAAATAACTCATCCAAAATCATGTATCATCAATGTTACACAACACTATTACTCGTATTCTAGAACATTATTACCAATTAAGGTCCTAAACCAAACATTCTCGGTCCAGAACTATCTATAAACTACAGAAAATCTAAGAAACCATGTGAGAGCTATAATGTCTTTCTTTATAAGCCTACAATAACTAATGTGATTTGTGCCACACTTTGGCATCCTTACCCCTCATCTTTCAGCTGTGATTTTGTTAACTGATACTGCTTTAATATTTGCTTTCCCACCAAAGCTGACTTGTCCTTCATTAGGGCAAAAAGGTAGTGGTTAGGCAACAGGAAATACAGCTGAGAAGAGCACCATGCAGTCTGCCTATCCCAAGTCCCAAAGATTTTATGATTTATTTCTTTTCTCTTCACTTAGGAATGTTAAACTCTCTGAAATGAGACAGACACTCAATCTTTTACTTTTCTGCTTATCATAGTGCTGTATTTTCCAAATAAAAAAACCTAGATACATTATCTGACAATATCTGACAGACTGTAATTTAGGACTATCTCAAAGATCCCCTAGATCACACCCACCTCAACAATTCCCTAGCATGACTCACAAGACTCAGCATATAGTCCTACTTCTAGCTATGGGGCAGAATCCAACAGAAACCAGACACAAATTTCCAAAGGCTCTGTCTTGTGGAGTCACATGGGACACATTTAATGTTCTACATCAGTGATAGCGAAACTTGTACAGCTTTCAATGATACAAACAGCCTGCTGCAACACATGTGCCATAGGTTTGCCACCACTGCTCTAAGTAATGAGCTATCACAACATAGTGTATGTGAAATGCTACCCGTGAGAGAAGCTTATTAGGGACTCAATATCCAGGTCTTTTAATTGGATACCAATAAGTATCCTCTGACACATAAATTTCAGAATCCCAGAAGAAAAGCAGTTGTTTAGTTTAAACCATATTATTTGTACATGCAGTTTACATACAGGGAGCTATTGCATCAGTAATAGTGGGAACCTTCTTGAAATCTAAGTTTTCAGACCCCCCCCCACCCCAGCAAACAATCCTTTACAAGGGTAGAACTACTGTTAACTCTTTTCTGCAAAGAATATTCCAAAAATCCAAGAAAGAGGAGAGATATAAGAAACACATATTGAACTCTACTATTCTACTCCCTCATAAAATTACTTTCCTATGATTTCCCTATTTTTTCTAGAGGTGCTACCATTATCACAGTACCAAAATCCAAAGCATAATAATCTTTTTTACTCACTATATAAAGACAACTATCAGGTCTTACTGAATCTTCCTTATAATAACTTCGTTCTCTTTTTTTTATAATAAGTTCTTGAATTCATCATTTCCCTTTTTTTGGTCACTATTGTAACCAAGATTCTAATCAACTTCTGTCTGGTTGAGAACAACTGTGTCTTAACAGCCCTCACTGCCTCTAGGCTTCCTCTCTAATATATTTTATACATTCCTACCACATTGTCACACAACTCCATTCAAAATCCTTCAGTGGCTCCCAATGTTAAACTTATATTAAGCTAGTGGGCTTAGACTAGCTTAGTTTTAATTCTCTTATACATAACTTTTAGTCTAGGTCAAACTGAACTGCTTGTTATACACTGCTATAGTTTGGATAAGTGTCCCCCAAAACCTTGTGTGTTAAAGGTCCTGGGGCTATCGAGAGGGAGCTAAACCTATAAGAGCTAGGGTCAAATGGGAGTACATTTGGTCACTGGGGGTGTCCCCATGAAGGAGACATGGGAACCTCAACCCCTTTCTGTCTCTGCCACCCTGTTTCCATAAATTGAGGGCTTCCTCCATCACGTGATGTGTATGCCATTATGACATACACACCAGCGATTCAAAAGCAGAGATCTTTTTATAACAGGCCAACTGACCATGGGTTAAAATCTCTAAAACTGTGATCCAAAATCAATCTTCCCTTCTTATGAGTTGTTACCTCAAGTTTTTGGACAAAGAGATGACTAATACAATGTCTAACAGATAATACATTCTGTGCCACATGGATGGTTCCTTTACTCTGCTTACCCTGTACACTGCCTGATTCCCATACCCACCTAGAGCTTTGATTTTTTACTTTCATTTATACCAACAGTACTTGGCACAATGCTTTTTATAATTAAATATACTGTTCAAGAAAGTTTGTTGATTTAAATACATGGCCTTTAACACATAGAGAATTATTTTTAAAAATAAAAACAAACAATATTCTAAAAGTCTTTATCCTAGCATTTAATACTCAAAACAATCTATCCTCCATTGATTTTTTTAAGCTTTATGTCCTACTGTTTCTTCTTTAGGAATCATTTATTGCAGAAAATTGTCACTATGCACTGTCCCCTAAAAAGATAGTGTCCCCTAAAAGGACTTTGAATTGTCTCATCTCCATCTTGATTTGTCTTTCCTCTTTTTCTTTTTTGCCCTCCCTCCTTCCTTCCCTTCCCTTCCTTTCCCCTTCCCCTTCCTTCCTTCCTTCCTTCCTTCCTTCCTTCCTTCCTTCCTTCCTTCCTTCCTTCCTCCCTCCCTCCCTCCCTCCCTTCCTTTCTTTTCTATAACACTCTGCCTTCAAATGCCAAGCCTCTTGAAGTTTCTCTCTACTACCATAAAGTCTGACCTGACCATCCTTCTCAAGATGACTTTCCTGATGAATCTGAAACTTCACTGCAGGAACATACACTTATCATTTGCTTTGCACATCTTTTTTACTTTGTATTGTTAGAAAGATAACCATATGCTCCAAAATGTGCCTGGGTCAGTTCTGACTAACTCTTGCTTCCCTAGTTGGATACACTTTGATGAAAAATATTCCAGTCTGGATGATGAATTACATAGTCACATTATTTATTAATGACATTTCCATATGTGTGTTTAACCTCAGCTAGACTTTAAATTTTTGAAGTAAACATTTATTTTATTCTTTTTAATGTCTCTTTCATCAATTAATAATATTTGAACAAATGTGATTAAAATTAAAGGAAACAATGATGTTTCATTCGCACAGGCTAATACAATAGGACCAACATAGAAAATTTACAATTGAGAGCAATTCACATATGAAAATCCATAAAAGGTGATATTTAAGAGACTACCTACTTTCTATTATTCTTGTTGTCTTTGGTCTTGCACCTTTATTTCCATCTATATTTCCTGCCTACACTGAATTTCCCTATCACATTTGGCCTTTGGCACATTGCCCATTCTGTTTTCAAAAAGTAACTTCATTTTTTGACCTGAGTTATATTCTTTTAATTCTAGCCTTTACCTTGGCCAGAAATAACAAATCAGAAATGATATAAATGAAAGGTAAATAGACAAGAATCTACTTTTAAAATGGCAACATTTAACATGTTAAATTTCACTTATTTCCTTATATTTGAATTCCATGTTTTCCAAATATGTAACTGAAATATCACTTGTTGCCCCTTCATTATTTACTGAGAGAAAATTAAAACTGTTTAAAATTTTTAAAAATCTAAAATAATACACTATATTACCATTCTGTGGAGGCAGACTTACTTTTCAACTTCATCTGAGTTTTCGAAAAATAAATTATCCACAGGAAACAAGTCGTCATTTGATTTTAGCATTGTTGGAAACTCCTTTGTCATAAATCTACAGGATACAAAACACATAGTTTCTATTTGCAAAGATATAGAAAAATGTTTCTGGCTAAGTAAAGTAGAATCATTACTTTCTCACAATATCTGGTAAAATATACCAACAAGTCTTGCAGCTTCATCTTCTGCAACTTCCTCCCAAGTGCCTCAGTAATCAAATTCATTATTTGCTTCTCTACTCATTCATGCTTTTTCACACTCATGCCCCTCTTCACATTGTACCAATGCATTTTCTTTCATCCTTCTCAAGGCAAATTCCTACCCATCCTCCTATGTATAGGTTACCATTCTACAGGCATATGCTGCTCTTTTCTTGTTCCGGTTACTTCCCCCTGTGCATTAACACCACATCCCAATTTGTTTCTAAAGTCTGAAATATTACAGAACATTCTATATGTGAAATAAAATCAGATGCACAGGTCATAAAACATAAGTTATATTTATATTTCTTCTGTGGTAGTTAATATACTTCAAATTTGTCCTAAGAATAGAAATTTAAGTCAAAGAAACTATATGAGCACCACCTTGTGGAGAAAGCTTCACTGCTAATTTAGATTATGTCTCTCCAACACTGAGGATTCCCTGATAGGACACAAGTAGGAGTGATGGAGGGGAACAAGTAATGTACCCATCTCTTGAGAAAATGGTACAAGTAAGGGAGTTAAACCTGCAAATATTTTAGGACTGATCCAGAATACTATAGTGTGAGGTTTTTCATTGTTTTAGTTACTGGCTTCCTTCCCCAACATGTTTAATTGCCCTCTCTACTTCTCTCAATTTATTAATCATTCAGGTATCAACAAAAATAGTAAAAAATGAAACTAGTTTGGTTTTATAAATGGCTAAAGCAATTAGCCATTTATATGAAAACAGAAGCCTAGAATAGTAGCATAGGAACCAGAACATTAACTCAGAAATAAAAGCTTAGAATAATAGCATAGGAGGCTGAAGAGTCATTCAGAAATATACTAACACAAGCTGTCTTGCTTAGTTTGTTTGAGGTACTGGGGATCAAACCTAGGGCCTTATATATACTATGCAAGCACTCTTCCACTGAGCTACCTCCCCAGTCTGCTCAGAGTTTTAATATCTTTATGCATATAACCAGTTTCAAAACTTGAACAATTATCTGAAAAATATAAATGAAAGTACTAGTCATTTTCTATATTGTCCAAAAAGTAATGTTTCCTATCTAATTTTAGAACTATGCATTTTTAATCAACAAAAAACTTTTACAAATAAACTTTTATGTAGTTTTGGTATCTCAGAAATTAAATAGAAAATCTTAAGGCTAACATTGATATGCTTGAATTATTTATTCTGAACAAAACTGCAAATAAGACCAAAAAGCCCCTACAAATTCAAAGGATCTTTAGGGAAAAAAATGGGCATGAACTATACAAAAGTCCTCCAGCAAATCTTACTAGAAGAACTTTTGATTTCCAGTTCTGCCGTAAAAGATAATGTTTTGGTTCGGAATAAAAACTTTATACATGCACTTCTTAGTTCTGATGCATTACTACAGAAAAAAAATAATTCTTATCTAAAATTCTCTACTCTCTCATCCTGCACTGTTTTTCTTTATAGCAGTAATAGTTAACTGACATATGTTTCTTTACTACCTTTCTCCCTCATGAGCAAGCAAGGGCTTTATGCTCATCAATAGGTTAAAAATCCTGGAGCAGTATTTGGCATATAGTAATGATCCATGCAAATTCATCGTGGGATAAATGCATTAGCAATGTCAATTTATAAAAGTAATCTTCAGTAAAAATAATTTTAGAGTAATTTACTCTAAAACATGTATTCCCCAAAACGTTTGAATTTAGAAATATGGTTTTGACGGGGCACAGTGGCGTATGCCTGTAATCCCAGCAATCAGGAGGCTGAGGCAGGAGGACGTGAGCTTGAGACCAGCGTGGGCTATAAAGTGAGTGCAAAGCCAGCCTGAACTGCGTAGTGAAACCCTGTTTCACTCAAAAATTTTTTTCCAGGATTCATAAAATCACATCATCAAAATCATTATATGAATCATTCATAAAATCATATGTACAACTTGATGGATTTGGCACTTTCATTATGTAAGTAAATCTTGTTTTAAAAGCCCTAAAAGGAACCTTGCTACAGTTCAGTGTGCATTTGTGTCATAAGAAGATTGCTAAATTCTGAATTAATTGAAGTTCTAGGTTTAGATTCAAATTTTCTAACTTTCCATGTTAATTTTTTTATTACAAAATTTTTGTTTCAGCACGTGGTACCAAGTGCGAAGCACAATCGATAATATCATCCCGAGCAGCTTGAGTCTGTTCTTAAACTGTCTTCCGACTAGCTTTTTCCGGAGAGGACTCGCACCTACTCTACACGAGGACAATTTGGCAGTCTTATTTTCTCTAACCCCTTCTTGATAACACTCTCAGATTTGGTACTCCCTCCTTATAACTTTTACTCTCACAAGCACACTCACTTGCAAGTACCCACAAGGGTACGTAACAACCGGTTCGCTAGCAGCCCGCAATCAGCCCTGAGGGAACAACCGCGCGCCCCGACGCCTCGGGCGGCGCCAGAGCCGGCACCCGCGTGCGCACGCGCGCTGCACCCGGGCCCAGAGGG